CCACAGGGCCAAGGCAAAAATGGTTCACGGCGACCCTTGTCACAAGCGAGGGCAGAAAAAAACTAGTTGGACAGCCTGCGAGACACCAGGGAGGCAGGAAAGGACCGGACCAGTTGGAGGCACCAGGGAGGCAGGAAAGGACTAATTGGACAAGCTGGGAGGCACCAGGGAGGCAGGAAAGGACCAATTGAACAGCTGGGGAGGCACCAGGGAGGCAGGAAAGGACTAATTAGACAATCTGGGAGGCACCAGGGAGGCAGGAAAGGAATAATTGGAGGCCAGGGAGGCACCGGGGAGGCAGATTGGACAACCTAGGAGGCAGGAAAGGAATAATTGGACACCAGGCGAGACCAGGGAGGCAGGAAAAGATCAATTAAACAACCTGGGAGGCACCAAGGAGGCAGGAAAAGACCAAATAGATCGGGAAGGCATGAAAGGGCTGCGAGGCACGAAGGAGGCATCAGGAGGACCATTTGGACAGCCTAAGAGGCACCAGGGAGGCAACAAGGAATCCCGTGCTACGAAAGGGCCTTCAAAGACAATCCTGTTCGAGGTTACCACGCTCCATCCTAGGGTTTAGGGTTACTTATTCTAGGGCAAGCTCGACCGCTTGCCAGGGCACTAGCGTGCCCGCGGGGCTAAGCCCCCCCGGGTGCCTTAGCTGCGCTCGACCGCTTGTTCAGGCACCGCCTTGCCCTAACGGGGCTACGGCAGCGCTCGGGCGCCCGTATCGGAAGGCGCCCTCGCTTCAGTTTAGGGTTCGCCAACACAGGTAATAACGTCCTAATCAAACCGCCTTAAAACTTACTTATAATATCTTATCCTATTATATAAGATGAAACCCTACCACTAACATTTTTAACTAAGAGATTTTAAAGCCCTACCACTGAAATTTTGGCTGAGATTTTGAAGCCCTATCACTAACATTTTTGGCTAGGATTTTAAAGCCCTACCACTAACATTGTTGGCTAAGATACATAAAGCCAACCTATGTTAACGCACAGTAGCGCAAGCCCTAAAAGTTTAGAATTTAAGGTTTAGGATTCCATTAATTAATCATTAACCAACCAAATTCCTAGACAGCGATAATATCATAAAGAAAATCATTACACCATTACAACCATAAATAATATTCAATCGAACGAAATACATCCCATTAAAATATTCGGAGATAACCTAATCCAAGCATAGATAAAATATATACCAGTTTAAGCACTCGAATTTATAGTATTTTAACAAATACATTCGAAAAAGAAGTTTATATAAATATAAATTACCCTTAAAAATGGTATATCCTTTCCTCAAAGTTCTATTATAGGCTTTAATATAAGAACGCTTTAACCTATTATATCGTCAGATAAATAATCCTCGCGTCGAATCCTCGAAAATAAAAAACGAAAAATAAAATTAAAAGATTCTTCAAATTTAAAACCGAATAATTCAGATAAACAAAAACTAACGCAATCGAAAACCAAAATAACGACATAAAAATCGCCGAATAAAAGCTCAAAACAAGAACGATCGAAATATAACGCCGCCCCGCGAATCCGAAACACGCGCTACTCTTAAACTAAGATAACATTTTATATTAAAATAATATTATAATAAATAATATATTCTTAAATAAATAGAAGAATTTTAAATATTTAGAATACGGAAATTTAATATATTAAATTTCCTGTAATTAAATAAACCATATTATTATATATATACATATATATACGACCGTATATTCAGAGGTTCTAACAATTTTAAATATTTAGAATAAATTAAACATTTATTCCTATTCTATTACCTCCACTAACTAACCACACACCGAGCCGCCAAATATTACGACAATAATAATACTAATCTTTACTCCTCCTTTCCCCTTCCATCCCAATTTCCCACGATCCAACGAAATCTATATTACCCACAAAATCATTTAAAACAAAAATAAAAAGGTCATTTATCTCGATTTTAAACCCCCCACATAATCATTTAATTTTTTTTTTGGCCAAGTAACCTCAAATAGAAATCATTGTAAAGAAGTTAAATAACAATTAACTATTTCATGCGTCCTAAATTCATAAATTAAAATTCGAAAACTAGAAAGAGCGCGAATTCGGAAATTAAAACGAATAAAACGGATTTAAATCGAATAGTTTCTAAATCGGGCCTATGAAAAACACATATATGTCCACGCTACATCAATGCAACATTTAAACAAATCCCCCCCACCCCCCAGTTTCTGAATCGAACAATTTCCAAATCTTGAATCGAAGGACTTTCTAAATCGGGACATCCTATAATTTCTAAATTGGTTAGTTTCTTCAAATCAATTTCTGAATCGGGACATTCTGTAGTTTCAGAATCGCAAGTTTCTGAATCGTCTTCTGTTCATACTGTTTCGACCGACCTTTCCTCCAAGATTTTGCTGCCCCTGAATTGTAAGCCCTTTTCTCATGTATTTGATAGCGCTCCGCTTTTGTACAACTTCCTGTCCCTGAAACACTTATCATTGGTCAACTTCTTCTTCCCCCTCCTCCTCCTCCTAATCAGAAACAACGCCGTTTGCACTTCCTTGCTTGTTGCACTTGTCATTCGTTTTTTGTTTCTATGTGTTAGGCGTTGCTGTAGGCCGGGGCCAACGGGCCAAGAACATTTCGATGGATATAAGAGATTGTACAATAGATTATAACAACTGATTCATTCGTTTTCTGGCAATGCAATTCAAGGCCACGTAACACATGGTGTATAGGTGTTATACGCCCATTTGCCACATCCATGGCGAATTTACTCGCATGCGGACTTTCCAAATCTTTCATCTAAAGAACTGCAAAACTTTGCAGGAAAGCTTCATGTCGCTTAACCAACCACTTGGATTGAAGGGGAACTGAAAAAACATAGCAAACTCATGCGATTGTCCAGTGCATAGAGCCGCCTCGCCATGGAGAAACCGATCGCTTCTGGCCCTTCGCTGTAAGCATGATCCGCAAACAGAGCAATTGGAGATCCTCATTCAAAGCAATTCCAAAGCAGCAATGGAGTCAGTGTAACAGGTGATAGAAGCTGTTTTGATCACCTCATCAAGTCGAATCCAAGGCGGGAAGAGTCACATTGGCACAAGGGCCAAACATTGAAACAAGGAATCGTTCACCGGAGATTTCTCATACCAATATGGGCTCACAAATGTTTCTGTAAATTGCCTATTTGTCAAGACCTGTGAAAGATGTTGTTCATTGTGCAGGTGCAAAATATTGCAAATGCGTCCATCTCTTCAGCTCTGTCCACGCAATCTGTAAGGGTACCGAACTCTTCTGGGACCTGGCTCCGGCCATCCTTGACTTCTTCGGAGTCCAGCCATCCCGAAAAAATGCAAAGTGTTCGGCATCCGCACGAAGCTGAGCAACTTTCTTGATCCCGAATCTTTGAGTGCTCAGTATTTGGAACAAGGACGCTACTAGGGGCTCCTGGCATCGCTACTAGGAGCAAGGACGCTACTAGGGGCTCTTGTTTTTCCAATTTGTCACCCAAGAAACCTTTGGGGATCTTCAAAGTTGGGCTCCTCCTACCGGACCGGGCCTCTTTCTTCCCGGTTGTGGATACATTGGCGTTTGGCATGGCTTGGCCAGCCTGGCCTTCCCAGGTCTCCCTGCCGACTCGTCGACATGGGAAGTTTTCTCTATTAGGTTGGACACCATCTCTATTGGGTTGGAGGCCATTGCTATTTGTTAGGTTGAAGGCCATCGCTCCCGGGTTGGAGGCCATTGCTATTAGGTTGGAGACCATCTCACTACAATTAGGTTGGAGGCCATCTGTATTGGGTTGGAGGAGGCCATTGCTATTCATTAGGTTGGAGGCCATCGCTACTAGGTTCAATGAAGGCCATCGCTCCCGGGTTGGAGGCCATCGCTAGTGGGTTGGACACCATCTCTATTAGGTTGGAGGCTTCTAAGTGACATTTTCCATGGGACACTGATGCTTCTTGAAGCTGGACCACACCTGGGTCATCTCTTTCGTTTTCGAAGACGAGCCTGGCAGGGATGAGCCTGGCCTGGCCTGGCCTCAACTTTTGCTGGGCAAAAAACAGGCCCCGCAGAGAGAGCTAGGCAGGTCAAAGTCCAACTTAACCATAAGCATCTCTTTTTCCTTTTCGAAGCCGCCCTTACTTAACCAAGTAGGCGCCTACTTAACTAAGTAAGGCTAGTAGCTTAAGCAAGCTACTAGCTGCTGGACGCAGGATGGCGCTGGGAGTGACGGCTTGAGGGAAATGGGTGATGTGGTGTGCAGTGCTTTATGGGTGGTGAGTCCCAGCATGCCCAGCTGGCACTGGGGTCCGGTAGCCATATAGCAAAAGGGCCTTGTCGAAACCATACAATTGGACTCTGAATCCAAGGCGCAGTGAGACCGGTCAGGCGCTTGGTTGAAAGCCAAGGTCATAGGCTTTTCACTCTTGAATGCGGGATTTACCTCATCTCAAGAATTATTACCTTTCGAGCCATGACTATACTGCTTTTCTGTGTTGAAAGGACACCTGTTCTCCATACGGCTGTATCGCCAAATCCAGTACTTGGAATGTCGATCAGAACACCAAAGCCGGCGGATTTTGAGCCATGATCCTCTTGACCCTCACGAAGCTCCTGCCGTGCTGCTACTTTGAATTGATGGCTTCGCTGCAGGTGCATGCCGTGCTGCTACTTTGAATTGATGGCTTCGGCTGCAGGTGTGCCGGCGGATCGCAAGGAGATTGCAGTCAGGGGTGCCAACCACACTCACGTCTAACAACAACTCACAACAGCTGTTCGTTCGTTAACAAAATACATAGGTGGTGCGTAAGTGTTGAAGTGTGCATGCAAGACACAGGGCGATGCATACATTCTTTTCTATCTGCAAGTGTATGTGCTTCAAATGCTGGGTATGGCGCCCTTCATGTTAACCAACTTCTCATCCCGCTTTTGTCAAGCACATCTGCACTTGGCCTCACTCGCAACATGTCCACCGAGGCCAGGGGCCGAAATTCATGGCTCTCGGACACCAGGAGTCTGTTCCGTCTCCGGCTCCTGGTCAAGCGGTGCGGGTCTCCTAGGAGTTCTGGGAAAGGGCATCAAAGCATTTCGGGCTTTCGTTCGAAGGAGTGTGTGTCTCAAATCGCACGAATCCCAATCTCAACATGTACAAATTGACTACTAGTAACAAGAAGCTACTAGGAACATGTACAAATTGAGGGGAGGGGTCACCAAGTCGATCCAATGGATCAGTTCGCAGCGCCTCTTCCACCAAACTTGTAGAGCGCTGCTCCTGGGATTCCAAGTGCAAAGCTCAGCACCGCAGTCCAAATGTGAAGAGAGATTTCCTCCAAAAACCATGCCAAACATGTCGATGTGACTCTGGGGAGGAATGGATCAATGAGGAATCTCTTAACTGATGAGGTTGAAGATGTGTAGAACTATACCGCAGCATATTGGCAAGCCTATAATGCCGAGCTAACCCCTAAATTGCCTCTATCTAGGTCTTGACCATTGTTTCATGGTTGCTTTGACTGCAAATCTACTTGAAGGCAAGTCTTCCACAACTAACAGGAGATGGAGTTGGATGCTCGCCAACATGCAAAACTATCCATGTATTGACATCCAACTCTCAAACAGAACTTTGATGATAGTCGTCTATTGTTTTGTTTTCAGTTGACCATGAAGGTAAGAATTAGTAAGAACAGTGATTCAAGTGATTCATAGAAATCCGTTGCAAAGGATTGGAAAGAACAGTTCTGTGGCTCCTTGACCTACACCCTATCTGCTTTGGTTGGCAAACAGTCACCATCACATCACCATCGGTCATCACCCGGACTGGACCTCCTCAAGGCTGGCAACGCTGGCCAGCTCCGGCTCCTCAGCGAACTGCAATGAGCTCTATGATGCCACTAGTAACAAGAAGCTACTAGTAACAATGGCATTTCTAGTAGGAGCAAGGACGCTACTAGCTATCTTCTTTGGACGTGTCTTACTTGTTTTAGAGCTTCATGCCATTCTTGCATCTTTACTGCCAGAAAAAGAAGGACAGGTCTACAGAATCTCCTTGCAACTCAAAGAACCCACTCACACCAAGAGGCATGCCGGACTTCCTTTTTTCACCAATGCGTCTAGATCTCTAGACTTTCTGCCCTAGACCTCACACACACTGTTTGGGGTCTCTTGCCGGCAGAATTACAAGACTCCATCGGTTTGTGTGAAAATTGGGAAGCTGCAGGAAAAAAACACATGGCCAAAAGGGAACCTCCGAGTGGCATTTCCAGATGAACCTCCGCAGGAATCCTATCTCCAAAAGCGCGTTCGGATGCTAAAAACCTTTCCAAAGAAAGGAACAAAAGGCTTTGGTGATGAACAAGGCGTTTCTTTGGTTCTTCATATGGGTTCTCACAAAGGATCCTCCACCTGTGCGGTCCGATCTGCCTGGCTCAAGACTTCGCTTGGAACCTCTTCCTCTAACTTCAGGCCCTTTCCAGAGTCCTGGTGAGGAAGGATCGAAGGACACGCCATCCTATCTTTGAGCGAACAAATAATGCTGAGTTGGTCTTGTTGGGCATCTTGTCGGCATCCTGTTGGCCTCTTTCAATCAGCCGAGAAAAGAGCCCAGATCCCCCCAAAAGATCTGCACGACAATCCGGAACCATTTTACCTATAGCCAAAACGCTGGCTCAATGAGCATAGCGGCACAGCGCCAAAAGCTTTGCACTCCGACTGAAGAAATGTTTCGATATCTGACTGTCCAAGCGACTTACAAAGCTCATCTAAAGCAACACTTCCAAACCCAAACGCAACCCAACAATTCCATCACCAATTCCAAGCCCAACAATGATCATATGAACTTGTGCTACACCTCGAAACCCTTGCAAGCCGGTCCTCCTGCAGCTCCGACGAGGACCGCTCCGCAGGCACTGAGCTGGCAGAGTCGGAGTCCTTCGGCTGGAAGGGAAGAGAGAGTAACACGAGCACCTTTCTGTTGGATCTCGTGATGGTTCTTCTTTTAGGGGTATAGTAACTATTTTATAATGCTTTATGTGACTTATCTATGCGTTGTTTTTGTTTAACATTCATGATTTCCTGTGTCATTCTTCTCAAGAAGGAAACCAATGAGCTTCAACGGTCTTCATAAGAGATATGTTTTTTCCTGTTTGCATCTTCTCCATGCCATCAACTCCTCAGCCTCTGCAGAAGGGTCAATGCCGCCGCCACCTTCATCCTGGCGTTGGAGCTCATTATGCAAAGCCGAATTCCAAGTCTTCCCCTTTTCGTTTAGTGGAACATGCTGGAATTTCAAGAAACCAGCAGTCACCAATTCCTGGGGCCATTATAACTCTCACGTAAACTGCTGACCAAAAGCTCGCAACAGTCAACAGTGTTCCAATTGCCTGCACACAAGACCATCACTGATCCACGTGCATTTCTTTTGCCGGGCACCTTTGTCAGTGGTGGAACCGTGTGGATTTCATGAGAGAGATGCGGACCTGAACATACCTGAACGATCACCCTGATTCGTTAAAGTTGTGGTCCACAAATCCTGGCAAACACCTGATGAGCTCCAAAGCACAGTGGACCAGGCAGCAAAGCAAAGCTGGGTTCTGCTCCTCATGAGAATGAACCGATGTCCACATGTTGTACTATGGTATTCACGTGGCTCGGTCAAGGTCTCGTCCCTGTGACTCTCCCAAACCCCACCCGAGGCCTGAGGAGGCACCTGGATACCAAGGTCGAAGAACTTCCATTGGGCATCACGGAAATTCCATTGGAAGTGGGGGATCCTTCGAATTCTGCGTGGTACTCTAGTCACCATTTTCCGTGGAAGGAATTCAGGAGTTGAGCTTCCAGGGGGTTGTTTGAAGCGAGACAAAAGGCAAACAAGGTGAAACCAATGCTGATTTCTTCATTTACTTCCCTACCAGGCTCAGTTTGGTGATCCATGAGGATGATTCTCCAAAAAAAGTCTTTTGTCCTCTCGACACAATGTGGCCTACACCATCCTTGGCTGTTCCCCTCGGCCAGCCACTTACGGTGCACAAGATCAGGAAATCCTCTTTCGGTTGTATATGGTTGCGACAGCTTCAATGGACATTTCAGTGTATTCACAACCACAATCCCATCCTTCCCAGGATATTCCCTTTCATTCAGTGTGTGCGCTGAAGTTGAGTGGCTACAAGGGCATCGCTACTAGTAACAAGGTGCCTTACTAGTATTTGAGACGTCTTCGTAGCATCACCACCGAGCTGCATCGTGAGGGGCCATCGGCGTCACGTCAAAGGAAGGAATGCTCACCGTGGTGGTGGCGTCCTGACCAAAATGGTTCGCGAAAGCAAAAAGAACAAAGAGATGAACAAAGTATCTATCTAACTGTAACAAACAGTTTGTTTTAGAACATCAAAAAAGGAGGCACGACACAGGAGGTATTCACATGCTCTGTCTTCAATTCTCTGTTGTGTTGACTAACAGGTACTCCATATGATTTGACATAAGAGACTTCCCATCAGTTCTGCAAGGAACTTACAAACTTCATTCGCAGCTGAAAAGTGTGAGCGCACCTGTCAATTTGACGATCAAAGGAACACAGTATCCGGTCGTCCGAGCGCCCCCGGTCCTTGTCTTCCTGACTCTCCTGACGGCGAACATATGGCGGACAACCAATGCCAAACATGGCTGTTTTCTTTTTGCAAGCAGCTGAACATGAAGGATCAGGGAAGCTGCTACGTACTACTCACCGGTCGAGACTCGAGCAAATGTATTTTGCATCTTTCCTTGCAAAGCACAAGAACAAACTGCTCTCAACTCTCTAAGAGGCATAAACCATCATAAGACTGCTCGAAAAGGCTCCCAGGCTCGGAACCTCTCACGGAACATCTTTCGTGGCCTCGACGCTGGGCGGCAGCTCCGTCTTGAAGGAGACGACGCTCTTCGATGCCAGGGCGTCCTCGTTCCGTTGGGAACGGAGGAAATGGAGATGAACAGAGGCTTTTGGTTCTGCAGGATGAGTTGCAAAGGTAAGGCGTGGAAGTGGGATCCTTTGTGTTTTCACTCTGAGAGTGCTCTTAGATCTTGAGCTTGATGGGGATTTTCTTTGAACCGGATTTCATCTTGAGCCTCTAGCAAATCTAGAGAGTTCTCAATGGCTCTGTTAAAGTCAGGTCATCTTTACAAGGTGATCCTCGGTGGAGTGGCCTCCGAGTGGGTGGGTAAAAAGTACCAGTGTGTTATAACCAAATAACACTTACATGACCAAGGATAACGACTCTTAAGCCCTTGCCACTCATCTGAAGCACCTCAACTCAGGATATGCTCAAGACACCCTCATGGTTCTTAGGTGGTGTTTCTTCTTCACCCAAGCAACCGGATGATGTTTTCTTCTCCAACTTGTTTCAGCTACACCGGCCTTCTTTCCTCCTAATCCTGCGAACATCCACGCTGTCCTTCGCTGGCAGTCCACGAGGCTCCCAGTTCGCCTTGTCCTCACAGCATTCGACCGGAATGGTCTCACGGCGGAATCCCTGGCCACCCTCTTCCGGAGTGACATTCATGTGGAATTCGTTGGTGGTTTCAGAACGGAGAAACTCCTCGATCAACTGGGCAAATTGCCAACGAAAAGGGTACTTATCAACAGTTCTTGCCCCAGCTTGACTGTCCGGGCAGGTAATGGCAACAAATATGTGTGAACGCAATTACAAAGGACCAAATCCCCCCAAGTGAACCCTGGAAGCCAAGCTTTGCGTGCTTCTACTCCAGGCAAAGGATAGTTAGTCCAAGGCATTGCTTCAAAACACACCAATCACGCTGTGCTGTGGCCTCGTTCATCACCGGACTGCTCTCGTCACGAGGCCTCAGTGCGAGCCGTCGACCTGCTGAGCTGTCGACGGAATGATCAGCATGAGCCCTAGTAGCGTCCTTGTTACTACTAGTAAGGCACTTGTTACTAGAAGCGATGCACTTGTTACTAGTAGCTTCTTGCTCCTAGTAGCGATGCCAGGAGCCCCTAGTAGCTTCTTGTTCCTAGTAGTAAGGCCAGGAGCCCCTAGTAGCGTCCTTGACCGATTGTCCAACACATCTGTTGCTTCCGATGAAAATGGCTTTGGAGTTCTTCCAACGATCCTAAGCTTCGGCGAGTTTCAAGTTCGACTCGTCAAAATGATGCCTTTTGGTCTAAGCTCCGCCCTTACCACTATGACCTTGGATGACGTTACTCTACTGGAAGGTTTCGATTCCATTTCCTTCACTTTCATTTCATGCTGTCTCCCGCGCTTGAAAAGACATGTCAAACGGAAGGCCAGCATTGCCTGGGCGCCGGGCGAGAATACGCCTGGCCGAGTGTCGCTGGTTCGGGTGGGGCACCGCCGTCGGCGATTTCTCGACTCCGCCGCGCCTTTGTGTTCATCGGCCACGGGGAGGTCCTCTTCCTCCTCCGGCTCCTCCAGAGCAAGTGCATCGCTACTAGTAGCTAGTAACAAAGCACCTTACTACTAGAAGCAAGAAGCTACTAGTAGCTCCTGGCAATACTAGATTTTGGACGCCACACCATCGTGATTCCAAACGTTCATCCAAGCTCACTGCAAACAATCCCAAACACAAAGGTACACTCCCAAAGCCCACCAGCAAAGCAAAGATCGAGCAAAATGCCCCTGCACAGAATATCTCCTGCATCGGACGGACCTCATTCTTTGGAGTGTCCCAGATCTGCTTCCCCACGCCTCAACCAATGGATGCAGGTCAAGATTGACGAGATCGGTGCTCAACAATTGACTGTTGCATCAGGAGCATGTCACTGTTTCAAGTGAAGTGCTGAGGAAGACTTCACAACCTGGACACTTTCATCAAGAAAACCGCACATATTTTGAGGACCATCTGCGATCTCCACCCTAGGCCCAACATGAACAAAGGCCAGCCTTTTTCGTGCGGTGCACTTGGGGTTTCCCTAGGTCTTGTCCCACATCAGCTGGAGACGTCGGGACATCGGCCGCATCTCACGTCTGTCCGGTCGCCTTTGGGCGAGATCAGTAAGGACGGCCTCAGAGGAGCGTGGAGCGTTCCACGTGCCGTTTGGGTCAGTTTCTGGATGTTTTCCTCTTGAAAAAGCCAGTGGAGTGTACAAATCTATGAGAAAGGTACCAAAGATGGCAGAATCAAGCTTTCAACCCGACATTTGCATTGCTGGGATTTTGTCCACATGCCCGAAAAAGAACACATCGACTCGGGCTCCCAGGCAGGTTGGCGGCAAAGCTCTCTTCGATCACCGCTTGTACCTCGCGAGACCGGTCGAGGCAGTCCGGTGCACCTCTCTTTGGAGTCTCTGTTTGTGACCTTTCACAAGCCTAAGTGACCTGACCTCATGGGATCTCAAAAGGTCCCTTTGAAGGTCCTGGGATATGTGTACTATCTGAAGAACATCTCCAACGCATGATGGTGTCTATTGTTTCCGTCCACTTTGGGAGGCACGCCCATGTCCTGCAAACCTCTGCGCTATGCCTTCACTCTGCACACAGAATCCGGAGCGATGCCCACACTAGGGCCACTGGGAAAGCGGTAAAATGGCATCCAAAATGGTGGAGCTGTCTTGAACTCTTCCGTTTGTTCTTGTGTGGCACACACACACAATGCCAGCTGCAAACAGAAGAACAACTCCGTACATTGCTAAACCCAATATCCATACCAACCTTGTGGCAATTCGGTCAACCCACAATCAGTAAGGCCACCTTTTTTGCTGCATGCCCTTGAAGACAAGTAAGGTCCCATGTGCTGTACAAATCCATGGTCCATCCAATTTCTCGTCTCTGCACGGCTCGAGCTCTTCAGCCTGGTCCAAATCCAGCTCTTCAGCCTGAAGACGCTCCTGCGGAGGGCTCCCTTGGTTCAAGATGGTTTACACCGGACGATCATCGACCTTCAAGCAACTCTTAAAAGACCTGACAATGACAAAGGTACAAACCATGACCCAACATGGTAGTATGGACTTCCTTGAAGAAGCGCTAGCTATCCTGTGTTCAGTAGGTAGTAGCTTACTGGTAGCTACTAGCTACCCAGTCTCTACTAGCTACCCTACCTACCTACCTACCTCGGCCTACCCCGGCCGCCAAAAAGGGAGGTTCTCGCTGCTAAGTTTCTAAAGTAAGTGGTTCTGCTTCGGGGTTCAAGTGGAAAAATACCTATAAGTTTTAGAGTGTGCGGGAAACTCAGCGACACATTCAAAATAGCAAGCAGGCGGCAACATACTTTTTTCCTCTAACGCACAGTCCCAGCTCTGAAGAGCTTAAGTCTTGAGCAAGGTAAACTGCACATGTGACCTCCTCCTCGATTATTTCTTGTGCTTCTTCGAGGAAGTCTTCAGGTGTCCGTCTGGATTCAAGCGTTTGTGTGCTTCCTGCAGGATTTGCAATTCGAGATGGAAGCAAAAAAGGTTAAACGGTCACTTGTACAAAATGATGCAGTTGACTCCTGCAGTTTCCCGACAAGAGTAGCCTTGTTTCCAACAGTGGAAACACCAAATGCTTTCAGCTGGTCTTTGAGTTGCACGACCTTATGCTGCATCACTCTAAACAATAAGTATCCAACAAAATTGAAAGCGCAGGACCATGATATACATATGTGCACGCGCGTTTTGCTAATTGCAAAACAAAGCAACACCTCAAATGTTCGACAAAAGATTCATTCATACATCAACTGTGTGGCCGTCAGCTTTTGAAAATCATCTGGGTGTTCTTCACAGGCACCAGCTGCCTGATGCAAGGCGGTGGATCAGTTCAATAATTCAAAACCTGCAAGCCACTGGATTTGGACCATGCATTCATGAAGCAGAGTGAAGCCGAGCCTGTACACCTGAAGATGGTCCACCTTCACGTTTGCCTGGGTCTGCAGGATCTGCAGCATCGTCTGGACCGTCTGGATCATCGTTTCGGTCACGTGGATCAAGACGTACATGGGAATCTGAAAGAAGCCGACCGCTGGCTTTCAATTCCTCCACCATACGGTGAGCGTGTTCTCTGGCCGAGCCCTGAGCAGGGTTCCAATAGCACCAATCATCTGTGTGTGGTTCAAGTGGAATGTATTTTCGAACTCCTCCTAGCAACTCAGCAAGATCTTTGAAAATCTGTGCCTGTTCCGTCAATTCAGCCAAATCATCCACGCCCGATCTGGGAGAAGGAAATGTCAGCTTGGTTTGCCTGCTGTGAGGAACTGGTGCCTTTTTCAAACCAATCGCTGCTATCGGCATTGCTTCAGATGAAGCTGCTGGCGCTGTCAATGCTGGTGGTACAACTGCAGCTGCTACCAGCTGCGAATGACTTGGTGCAACTGGGGCTGGTGCAGGCACAGCTTCTGCTGATCTAGAGCTGGATGATGGAACGCCGTGCTGGTCTGTTGGCACTTCCTGTGGGTGTGCTGTTTGCGGTGCTTGTACCTTCAGTGCTTGTGTGGTGGCCTGCTCTGCTTCTGTTTGCTTTTGCTGTATAACATCGACAAGGGTTGCGCCTGTTGCTGCAGCTGGTGTGGGCATGTGCAACTCACTTGTCTCCGCTGATG